AGCAGATTCTTATCACACAGAAGCTCCCTGAGGGTTATTGTCTTGAGTAATACAAAGTATCTACATTGTTCTGTGCTAATGAAAGTTAGCAATGGTGGCAGTGAGGCTATGTTCAGATCTTGCAGCTGTCTCAACAATGGCTTTGTCTTTAAGAAGAGAGCTTTCACTTTTTCAGGACCTTTATAGACTAAGGATGCTCTCATCTGTCTTCAACTCAACTGGAACTAGAGAGTGCTCAGTGTTGTTGAGACAATTGAGAGTGAGCTCTTCAAGTAATGCCTCGAGAATCAGTTCACTAGTCTCAAAGCCAATGCAGTCAATGTCACAACTGATGTCTAACCAGTTTCCAGCTTTAGCCATGTCTTTTCTAACTATTTGATCCAACGCGTGAGGGAGTGGCAATGGCAACAGATGCCAGTAGACCGCTTCTTGAACCTCGTGAATGATGCTTTTGACGTTAGAGAAGACTCTGGTTTTAGGTGTAACAAACGAAGTCCATGGAGGGCAACAACATAGCTGCATGAGAACTTCATTGATGCAGTCAAAGAGGAGCTCATGGTCAGGACAAAGCTGGTTTGGACAGAATGGTATATTCCTGATCAGTGCTGGTTCAAGAAGCTGGTCAGAGAATTGCGCCTTGAGATAGAGCTCTTCAAAGTCTGAGTCTACTGCGTCTAAGACTGCTCTTACATACTTAAACACCAATTCTTTGTCACCTGTGATGTTTTTGACATAATCCTCTCGGTTTTTAGCTGCAGAATCTTTTTCATCGAAGTGGATACGCCAAGGTTCCACCTGTTCTTCACCTGAATTGTAAAGATGAATCAATGTTTGCTCATAATGAAGAACTAAGTACTAGAATCCAAGTCCTGTAGTAGATGCTAGGATCTGTTTTACATACCGGACTGTGATCGCATTTTTGCTGGGCTTATATCATCTTCGATGAAGAGAGGATCAAGAACTGATATTGGACTTGACCACTCAGGAAAATCAGTAATAGCTGATTTGCACTCCTCAGTTTTAGCTAAACAGTGAGATGGTGAGGCTACAGAGGAAGACAGTGATGATTGGCTCTCTTCATAAGAGGTCTGTAAAAGAAACAAAGCAACAAAAAACGTTTTCAAAATCTTCCACCATTTATTGATTCCAAAGTTCATAAACAAAAATGACTTGCCTGTTTTGAGATATCACTGTCTTTCTGTTCATCATGAGCTTCAACTTTGGATAAGTCACCAACCAAAGTAGAGCTTGTCTCTTCTGGAACTACATCTATCTCACTAATAATCACTACATCATCTGCAGAACCTGGAAGATTGGCATTGTTATTCTCAAAACAGAGCGAACAAAGAGCATTAGAATGGGAAGAAAATAGTATTATTACCTGCAGAAGATATTTTATCTTCGTTAGCAGTTCCATCCTCAATGTCAGCTCTTTTTTCAGTAGATTCACTAGCGGTATGTGGTGGTGACTCGATAGATTTTTCAGGTTCTTTGCTTAGATTGCACACCTGAATATCAGCATTTTCCTTCACATCCTCTGGTTGGCTCGCATGAGTTTCTTTCTTGATGTTCACAAGATTTATGAAATCTGCTGAAGCAGCCTTCCTGTGTGAAGTTGAGCTCTTTTCCCATCTTCTTCCTGGGCTACTTAGAGGAGACAAGTACTCAGGAAGTGAAAGAATCCTTCCTAGAGTTCTCTGAACTTGTCTGCTCGTTGAGTTTGAATCAAGATCTCCATTGTTTAACATCTCAGATAGATGCTTCTTGGCCTCTGTATAAATGTTAGATACCCTTTGCTTTTTAAAATCTTCATTGGTCTCTTGTAAAACTTTATGAGCTTTCTTCTGAGATGTTGAAGGCTTAGTCATCCGCTCGAGAAAGAAATGATCTTTAGTTGGTACATTCTTCGGAAACCCTTCCCCAATTCCCACTTCACGCTGCTGCAGTCCTGGTTGTTGCTCCTTTTTGATTGCATGTTTAAGCTTCCTCTTGATCTCAGAAAGAAAGAAATGTGAAGTGTTTCTCTCGTTCTGTGCTTTGTTTCTCATCATCAAATGTGAATCAGGTGACGAACCACGACTATTTCCTGTCTCCGGACTTGAAAAGCTCGCTGATCTTGGCTTCAGAATGAATATCCGGTCTGAAGCTTCGCATTCTTTGTCATCAATCACTTCTTGTGGGGTATCTTTCCTTCTGAAGAAGCTAGACCATTTCTTATCAGCAAGAGAAGATTGTTCCGATGCGCAGGTTATCTCAAACAAGCTCAAGTTTTCTTCTCCTTTCTGAGTTTGGCAGTTTTGTGAATCTTGAATATCCCTTGGCACAAGTATCTCTGGATCTTGCAGAAGTTTGAGAAACAATTCCTCGTCCGATCCAAGAATCTGAAACACTTCCATCAAGTCTTTAGACGTAAGGATTTCGCTGTTTTCTCTGGGACGGTTCCCATGTAAAAGCTTCTGACTTATTAAAAACTTGACCAACTCCCTCAGTTTCTCTTTATAGTCTTCATGTTTGTGATTCGTGATCCCATTCTTCTTCGCAATGCTTGTACTTTTGCGATGAATCTCAGAATAGAACTCTTCAATCATATTATCAATGTCAAGACTCTTTGCAGACTCATGATGCTTCTGATCTCTATGATGAACTTCAGGCTCTTCACTATCAATTCTGTTTATATGGCTAAAACTATCGAAGCTATTCTTCCGGGTCTTGTTTTTTTTCCTCTGGTTTTTCCTTCTTCTGCCTTCGAGTTCAGAGTCTGATAACTGTCCTGCTTCAGCAATCTCCATCTGCTTCTGCATTTCCTTGTCAATGAACAACTCTTCGGCTATGAGTTTCTTCACACTTGGCTTTATAATCGTAATCGTGACATTGCGTTCTTCACCAACCTATCACCAGTCCAAGGAACAACTAGATTAATTCACAGTAGACTCTCAAGAAGGATGTTTCCAATAAGGTTAAAAAGCTTACATGGGTTTCTTGAGCATCCTTATCGCGGCATTTGGACTTGCCAACCTCCTTGTTCCTATGATTTCCAGAAGCTGGAACAATTTAACACAACTGTTAACCAAAAAGACAAGTCTTTTTCACAGGTAAATGCAATAACCAAAAATGCAGGTATAGAGACATGAGGATTACCATGCTTTTGCTCCAAAAGCAGCTTGTGACTTAGTGGTCCATGGCGGAAACTAAACATATTCATGAATCCCCACATGCATCCTAACTGATCCCTCTCCTGTCTAGCAGCAGCACGCCGTTGAGTTTTCTTCGCCATGGCTTTCTTTGGTATTCAGTTTAAATGCTCCTTCCCTAATCTCTTTTCTCTAATGATGTGCCTTAAGAAACACTGAAGAACAACAAGAAAGTTATTAAGCACAGGAAACACCACACAGAACATAAGGGTAAATTGTACTTATGGAAGTATATATACTTAACAATCTCAGATCCTTCATAAATAAACAACAAGAGGGAGGCCAAAAAGAATTATCCTTCTAAATTACTGCAAATGAATTCTAAATTAACATAAGAAGTAAAGGATCCTCTAACAATTCAAAGCAAACTCCTTGTACACTCTATTGGTGATGAATAGGCAAAAAAGATTATTGTAACCAAAGGAAAGTAAGAACACAAAGCTTGACTCCATTACTTATGGAGCAAAATGAGATACCTTTCCCTTATGAAAGAGACAAGAGAGGAAAAGTACCTAAGATTCCTCTGAAATTCCAAACTTCCTTGAAGGGCAACAGCGATTGTAGCTGCTAGATTTCATCTGGTTTACTTACGTTTGATCAAAGCCATATACAGAAATCTCTATAGAAAGAAAACAAAAAAGTGCTGCAAGTTGCAAGAGAAGAAGTAATTCTCAAACTTTCTTTTGATGCCAAGATTCAAGGTTTGTCTCCTTTGAACCAGCTTTGATCGCCGAACAAAACGGTATTTGGGATTTCTTTCAAGGCAAGGCGAGAGAGAGAGAAGGAGAGAAGACTTGAATAGGTTAAACTAAGCAAATGATAGCTTCTCAGAATTGGAAAGAAACTCTTGTCTTAAAGCGTATCTTGATGCTGTAATCTCCAGCCACATTGTTGATCTGACAACTTTTCCAG